CTTTCTCTCCATGTTCCCGGCTCCGGACCGTCTGCGTGTTTCTGGGTCGGGGCGGGGTTCAGTTGCGGCAGAGACTCGGGCGGTTTTCGGGGGATGCCCCGTTCGGGTTGGGGACGGAGGTTTGAGCCTGTGCCTCCTGCCAAGGCTTCTGGGTCTTACCAGCGGCCCTTTCTTGTTGCCTTTCCCATGGGCTCTTGCTTTTCTTTCAGGGCGGAGGGCTTGGAGAACGGCTCTGCCCCGGGGCCTCTGTTGTTGGTTCCCGGGGCTGTGGGGGATGCTTACTAGCAGTTCTGGGGCGGTTTTGCCCCTTCAGGGGTTTTTCTGCTGTTGGGCGTCGTTTTTCGCCCTTCCAGTCTGCTAGCTTCCCACATTTGCTGGCGTGTTTTTGTGTATTAAGCGTCAGTCACAGCCCCTGCTGGCGGCCATTTTCGTCTGCCGGTTTCCCGGCATGGCCACCAGGGCGGCGTTGCGGTTTGTTTACATGCGTCTGGGTGTGCGAGCGAGCGTCTCTGGTGAGTTTTCAAAAAATTTGCAGGGTTTTTGTTCTCCTGTTGTCGTTTCTTTGTTTTTCTGGTGTTTTCTTGCTGTTGCCTGTTCCTCTGGGAACGTTTGGGTGTTGATTTTGGGTCTGAGCCTCTGGGTTTAGGCTCAGTGCCCCTGGCTGGTATGCTTGCTCCCACACCTTGCCCCTCGGTTTTCGGTCTGTTGGGACCGTTTTCCCAGGGCGTTCTGCTGGGGTCTGTGCTTTGCCTTTTAGTGGTGTTCTCCGCCGGCAAATGTGGTGGTTTGGGCTCCCCCTGGTTCGATTCTGGGTTCCTTTGGGTTCCTTGGTTTCGTTCTGGAGGTTTCTTCCTCTTGGGCCCCCTTTTGTGGGTTCAGGGGACTTTGTTTCCTCGTGTGACCCGGTTCTGCCTTTTGGGGTTCCGGGGTCTTCCTGGCTTGCAGACTGAGCTTTTTGGGTCTTGGCACATGTTGTGGTTGTGCTGGGGCTTTGTGGTTTTGCTGTCGAGGTGGGCCTTTTGATGCAGTTTTGTGCCTTCTTTGCCTGGCCGGCGTAGTGCTCTGCCACTAGTCGGCGGCTTGTGCTTTTACAATATGTGTCCTCACCTAGTTGTGCTTGTGGGGGTTGGGCTCTGGCTCCTTGGTCCTGCCTCTCAACCGTCCGTCAACAGGTGTATCGGTTCCTGTGCCTCTTGGGCTCTGTCATGTCTACATGTGACATTGTATGGGGGTCAGCCTCGTTACTTGTGTGAGGAGTCGCCACATTACTGCTTAGTGCTTTCCCGTTCCCGTTCTGACACTCAAAAAAAAAAAAAAAAAAAAAAAAAAAAAAACTAATTCTATCTGTGGCTCTTTTGGGTACTCAGTTTCCACCTGTGTCCCCTAGTGCGTGTGCCCCTTGTGTTACATATCCTGTCCTTCTCAACCTGTCGATTCCCTTGGGTATCTTGTATGTGGTGATCAGGTCTCCCCTCACTTCCTCTTCCAGCGAAGTGTGGTTTCATTCCCGTAGTCTCTCCTCATGACTTCGGTAGTGTACTTTTTCTTTCTGAAGGGTTCTGTTCCCTTCTCTGTTGACTGGGCGCTGGGGGAGCAGCTTGCTCTGTTGCCTCTCGCTTGGTCCCGCTGTTGGTGGGCGCTTTGGGTTGTCTTCCGGCCTCTGCTGGCGTCGGAGGACGGCTTCTCCCCCTTGGGGGGGTTCAGAGCTGGCGGGGTGGGCTTCTTCCCTGCGCTTCGTCATTTCCTCTTCGTGGGTGCGTGGGGCGTGGTCGATCCGCCCCATCCTTCTGGGCTTCCTGTCTGCTCTTTGCAGTCATGAGCTTTTCCAGTCTGCAGTTCTTCTGGACTACTACCGTTTGCGCCCTGGATCCTCTGCCCTGCTCGGAGGACTGTTGTCTCCTGTTCGGATTCTGTTAGGGCCGGGTGCATGGATGGTGGACCTGGACCTCCAGGTCACTTCTTGGCACGTTCCTCTCCAGTTTTTCTGGGGCTAGCACGGTTGGTAATTACCTATGTGTACTTACCTAAGTGTAGTTACAGGATGAGAGCTACTCTCGTGGTGTCCCGTCTTCCCAGCACTCTGTCATATAATGCTTTGATTATAATTGTCATATTGTCATATAATGATTGTCATATGTCATAATATGTCTTCATATGATGGTCATACAATGCTTTGGTGGTGGGGCTTCAGGTTTGCTGTTTTTATTGCATTCCCTATTTTGTGAAGGGCACTTTGTATCCTCTTTGCATCTTTACCGGATCTTAGTGCCCTGTCTGCGTCCGAGATTCGGTGTCTGGCCTACCTCGACGACTGGCTGGAGTGGGCTCCCAGTCAGTCCGCTTGTCTGCTCGCCAGGGGTTGGTTCTTTCCAGATCGCTGGGTTTGGTTTCCTGGTGATGTGGAGGTTTTACCTTCTGTTTCCGTCCCGGGTTCGGACCTGGGCCTTGTTTCAGGCTCTTGGGCCCCTCATTGTCTTCCCTCCAGAAGTGTTACTGTGGCTGTGGTCCCGCCTTTGGCTGTTCAGGAGGGGGTCCCGGTTGCTCAGCGGTTGCTTGGGCGGTTGTGCGGGAGTTTGCACTTCGGCGTGCTTGTCTGCCCGCGGAGTCGGGTTTGGCTCCAGCGTCGGTTGGTTCCTACGGAGACTCCACTTCCGCCTCTTGCATTCCTTGGGTTCCTCTGGGGATCTGGTGTTGGTGCTGCGTCACCAGCTTCCTCTTTGGGGTTTTCGGGGTTCCGTGCCTTGGCGGCTCCCCGAGCCTTCGCTCGATGTGTCGAGCCTTCGCTCGATGTGTCGAGCCTTCGCTCGATGTGTCATGAGACGACCCGTCTCTCGCCCCAGCCGAGAGACGGGTCGTCTCTCGGCTGGGGCTTTGTGACCAGTGCTCACCAGGTCGGCCGAGGTTGATGGAGTCTTTCTGTCCGTCGGGCTCACAGCCCGGTTCAGGTGTTCATGGCTGTCTGGTTTGCGCTTCGGAGGGTTTGGGTCACTAGGTACTCTACCGTTCAGCTCTGTTTGGACTGTTCTCTGGTGGTTCTTGCCGGAACCACAGGGGGTTTGGTTAACCGTGTGGTTCGTGTCCGGGGTGTGTCCTGCGTCCTGGTGGACAGCTGTCTCGGTTCATTCCTCTTCGTGGGTTGGCCAGTCGTCGCCGATTCGTTTTGTTGGCTCTGTTGGGCTTATGGACTCCTGGCCATGGACGTCTTCGGGTCGGCGTGGTCTAGGCGTCGCCCGTTTTGTGGCGCCTTCCCACCTGCGAGGACTTCACGGTGGAGGCTTTCGGCAGGCCTGGTCGAGGTGGGGGTACCTGTACCTCTTCTCCCGGTCCAGCTGTTGCTTCGGGTTCTGGCTCTGTTGCAGCCCATTCCCACAAGAACAGTCCTTATGGTTCCACTGTGGCCGGCCCGGCCTTCTTTTCAGACGCTGCTTGATAGGTGTCCGTACCCGGGGCGTTTTTCCTGAGGCTTCGCCTCTTTCAGCAGGCCGAATCGGTCCTGTCCGTGACTGGTTCGGCCTTCTCTTTGGCTCTTCGCGTCTGGTATTTTGACGCAGGTATCGCCATCTCTATGGTGTTCAGGTGGCTTTGTTGACGGTGTCCCACCTGCGAGCTTCGTCTTGGAGACTGTATGACGTTTATTACGTCTTCTCGCGTTTTGTTTCCCCTCCGGCCTGCTCATGAGTCGCCTGAGCCATCCTGGTCCTTGTTCAGGGTGCCTTCTTCTCTTCCCCTCAGTTTGTGGTAGCCCCTTCGGTTTGTTTCCTCCTCTTTGGTACGGGTGGTAGCTTTATTGGTGTGCAGCCTTTCTCTGTCCTGGCGACGGTCGAGACGGCTGCTTTCCGGAGGGGTTCTTGGGGTATTGGTACTTGTTTGGTTTGGCCGGGGGGTGCGTCCTGTGTTGTCCAGTTGTGCTTTTTGCTGTTGCTGGCGTACCGTGCCTGGGGATGCGCTGTGGTTGATCCGGTTCCTTCGTTCCCTGTTTTCAGGGCTCGGGTCTCCCGGGTCGTCCGCAGTGTTTTCCTTCTTACTGCGGTCTGTCTTTGCGCCCGTGCTGTTCAGACGTTTACAGCAATTGCTGCTGTGTTGGTGACGTCTCGGGCTCATTTCGGGCGCAGGGAATTGTGGGTCGCACAGGTTTTTGGCCGCCCATCCATGTGTGCGTCTGTTCTTGGGCGTTCTTGTTGCCTTGGGTCGCAGGTTTGCGACCGGTTGTCTTGGCTTTGCGTTGCAGAGTTTGTGGCAGCCGCCTCCCGGGTTAGCCCTTTCTTTTCCTTCTCTTTGGGTATGAAGCTCCAGGGAGCCGTAGGGGCTCCCCACAGAAAACCAGCGTTGAATGTAATGAAACGCCATTTTCTGGGTGAGCCCCGGAGGCTCCCTGGAAACCCTCCCTCCCACCGGTCGGCGGTTTTTTTCGCGTTGGTTGAGGCTTAGCTTCCGAACTGGAGCTTGGCAGCCGGCGCGGTAGGTCCGGGGCTCCCCCCTCCCCCTCCCGGGGTGGGGAGGGCTGCGCGGACGATCGGCGCGGCAGTAAAGTGTGATGTTTGCTTGTTTGCTTGTTTCCTTGGGATTGTAGGGAGTTTTCTACCTCTCTGTTCGGTTTTTGTTGTAGTTTCTTACCATGTGGGGTTTGTTTTGTTACGCCTACCTTTCTGGGTGCCTAACCCCGGTCGATGGCAGATAAGGAAAACCCCCAACCATATGGGGTTTTCCAGGGCCATTGCTCCCTGAAACCTCTCTGAAGGGGCCAGGTTCACGGTCTAATATATGCACATTAGCCCGGTATAGCTCCAGGGAGCCTCCAGGTCACACCCAGAAAATGGCATTCCATTACATTCAACGCTTTTTTTTTATGTACAGTACTATATGTACTGTAGTTCATAGGATGAGTATCATTGTCTATCTTAATTTTTCTGTACAATACAACTTAAATATTGTACTGTTACTCAATCATTTCTTTCCTTTGATATACAGAAATGTTTACATAAAAAAATAATAATCCACAGATTTTGACAAATGTGAGCGACAGTGAGAGTGAGAGCTATATACTGGAGGAATGGAATGGCATTACAAAGGTACTTAGCTTGTTCATGGCTGCCATCCTCAGTTCACATGCGGTCAAGTCAGTACAAGTTCTTCGCTGCCTTTCACATATATGCAAAATACTAGTATCCAAGCTAAGGTAAGTTGCTTTGCTACTAGAAATGTGTCTTGATTTTATTCTGGAACAATATAGTTTTGTCTTTTAATATCCCATGTGGTTAGTTGTTTACTAAAATCAGGTGTGTGCACTAATGCATTTCTTTTTAAATAATTGTAAGATCTCAAATCCTGTATATTGATTAGTTTAGAACATACTGAAACATTATGACTTTCATTTAATTTTATGTGTGGCGGTTGGGTTTTTTGTTTCAGCCACGTTATATTGTGAATTATTCTCTGCAGTAGAATTGTAACACTTAAAAGAGTTAAACTATTAGGAAAAATTATTAATGCAACGTTAGTACCCTTGGGTGTTCAGACCTTGGTTTGGTTTGGCGTTGGTCTGAAGGTTGCACGGGAATGTTGTTATGGCCACCACTATAGCTTCCTCTCCAACTATCAACTATAGTGTACCTTAGTCTTGTCAAGCACGGGAATGTTGTTATGGCCACCACTATAGCTTCCTCTCCAACTATCAACTATACTGTACCTTAGTCTTGTCAAGCACGGGAATGTTGTTATGGCCACCACTATAGCTTCCTCTCCAACTATCAACTATACTGTACCTTAGTCTTGTCAAGCACGGGAATGTTGTTATGGCCACCACTATAGCTTCCTCTCCAACTATCAACTATACTGTACCTTAATCTTGGAATAAAGTTAACTTAAAATATACAGCGTGACAAAAACTTGAGAATCGTATTTTAGAGGAGATGGCACAAGAGGCCAACATTTATTCCCTAAGCTAATGAGAGGGAGACCAGTGCTCCCTCTGTGAGTGCCAATCATGGGAGACCAGTGCTCCCTCTGTGACCCTCTGTGAGTGCCAATCGTGGGAGACCAGTGCTCCCTCTGTGAGTGCCAATCATGGGAGAGCAGTGCTCCCTCTGTGAGTGCCAATCATAGGAGACCAGTGCTTCCTCTGTGAGTACCAATCATGGGCGACCCAGTGCTCTATCCTGCCTGACTGTGTGGGCTCCTGTGTAGTGCTCTATCCTGCCTGACTGTGTGGGCTCCTGTGTAGTGCTCTATCCTGCCTGACTGTGTGGGCTCCTGTGTAGTGCTCTATCCTGCCTGACTGTGTGGGCTCCTGTGTAGTGCTCTATCCTACCTGACTGTGGGCTCCTGTGTAGTGCTCTATCCTACCTGACTGTGGGCTGCCAAGGTCGCCAGCACTGTATCATCCTTTGCAGATGACACTAGGATTTTCATGAGAGTTGGCAACATAGAGGACACGGCAAACCTCCAATCAGATGTAGATCAGGTCTTTCTATGGGCTACAGAAAATAATATGGTGTTCAACGAGGATAAGTTCCAGCTCATGCGCTACGGAAAAATTGAAAATATAAAAACAGAAACCAAGTACAAAACTCAGGCAAATCATAACATAGAACGAAAAGGCAATGTAAAGGATCTGGGTGTACTCATGTCGGAAGACCTTACCTTTAAAGAACACAATAAAGTAGCCGTCACAACTGCAAGAAAAATGACAGGTTGGATAACAAGAACTTTTCACACTAGAGATGCTATACCGATGATGATACTTTTCAAAACGCTTGTGCTCTCTAGAGTGGAGTACTGCTGCACAATGACAGCCCCTTTCAAAGCTGGAGAAATTGCTGACCTAGAGAGCGTGCAGAGATCCTTTACTGCTAGAATCCACTCAGTAAAACATCTAAATTACTGGGACCGACTAAAGAGCCTAAATCTGTACTCCCTTGAGCGCAGGCGGGAGAGATACATAATAATTTACACGTGGAAAATAATTGAGGGGCTGGTCCCAAACCTGCACACAGAAATAACACCACATGAGACCAGAAGACATGGCAGGATGTGCAGAATACCCCCGTTGAAAAGCAGAGGTGCAACAGGTACTCTGAGAGAGAACGCTATCAACATCAGAGGCCCGAGACTGTTCAACACGCTTCCACTACACATAAGGGGCATAACTGGCAAACCCCTCACAGTGTTCAAGAGAGAACTGGATAAGCACCTCCAAAGGATACCTGATCAACCAGGCTGTGACTCATACGTCAGGCTGCGAGCAGCCGCGTCTAACAGCCTGGTTGATCAGTCCAGCAACCAGGAGGCCTGGTCGACGACCGGGCCACGGGGACACTAAGCCCCGGAAGCACCTCAAGGTAGCCTCAAGGTAGGGCTCCTGTGTAGTGCTCTATCCTGCCTGACTGTGTGGGCTCCTGTGTAGTGCTCTATCCTACCTGACTGTGGGCTCCTGTGTAGTGCTCTATCCTGCCTGACTGCGTGGGCTCCTGTGTAGTGCTCTATCCTACTCCTGACTGTGGGCTCCTGTGTAGTGCTCTATCCTACCTGACTGTGGGCTCCTGTGTAGTGCTCTATCCTACCTGACTGTGGGCTCCTGTGTAGTGCTCTATCCTACCTGACTGTGTGGGCTCCTGTGTAGTGCTCTATCCTGCCTGACTGTGTGGGCTCCTGTGTAGTGCTCTATCCTACCTGACTGTGTGGGCTCCTGTGTAGTGCTCTATCCTGCCTGACTGTGTGGGCTCCTGTGTAGTGCTCTATCCTGCCTGACTGTGTGGGCTCCTGTGTAGTGCTCTATCCTACCTGACTGTGTGGGCTCCTGTGTAGTGCTCTATCCTACCTGACTGTGTGGGCTCCTGTGTAGTGCTCTATCCTACCTGACTGTATGGGCTCCTGTGTAGTGCTCTATCCTACCTGACTGTGTGGGCTCCTGTGTAGTGCTCTATCCTGCCTGACTGTGTGGGCTCCTGTGTAGTGCTCTATTTTACCTGACTGTGGGCTCCTGTGTAGTGCTCTATCCTGCTTGACTGTGTGGGCTCCTGTGTAGTGCTCTATCCTACCTGACTGTGGGCTCCTGTGTAGTGCTCTATCCTGCCTGACTGTGTGGGCTCCTCTCCAAGCAACTCGGAATGAGCTAGCTCATTAACCAACTAATTCATTCCTTGTTGTTGGACAGGAAGCTTGTACTCAGGCTTATCAACATTCCCTTAGGCCAACTACCGACCTGTCCCAGGCTGCAACCCCATAACAGATGGCAAACTGCCAGGTACCTTTTTACCTGAGGCAGATGCATCAGGTGAAAGGAAATGTACCCAACCATTTCTGTTTGTTCTTGATTGTGAGCTGTGCCACAAGAGAACGATAATGTAAATCTAATGAAAATGTTGTAAACTTATGCTATCGTGCTTTGATTAAAGAATCATTCATACATCTTAATTCCTCACTAACTGAAATATTTTAATTGATTGCATTTTCTTGTCTTTTAATGCAGTGACCCAAAGCCTTTAGTCGAGTCTTTCATTAACGTGGCTATAAAGGATGGAGAAGTAAGAGCTGTAGGTGAACTTGTCTCCAAGTACCCAGAAATCAGAAGTCTGATGTCCAACATCTCCAGTGAAAGCCGTCCACAAGCATCATACATGGTAACACCATATTTTGTGAACTATAGTAAATTTGATCACACATTCTCCAATATAATTTGTATTTCAAGTAAATTTCCTCAGGTTGTGATCTCCACCTACAAAATTATCAGAGGAAATGACAGGGTGGACAAAGACAAACTATTTAGAATGGGCAGGGTAGGAACAAGGAGACACAGGTGGAAACTTGGTACTCAAATGAGCCACAAAGATATTAAAAATAGTTTGTTCAGTGTCAGGGTAGTTAACAAATGAAATGCACTAAGCTTACAGTGATGTGGTGGTGGCCAACTCCATACACAGTTTTAAATGTAGATGTGATAGAGCCCAATAGGTTCAGGAACCTGTACACCAGTGTTCAAGTGCTTACAAATGCCAGGAAATTACAGTGATGAGGTTGGCAAATTTTGGTCATTAAGACAAGACATCTCAAAGGAAGACAGATAAAGCTGAAAACAACCTCAATGAAGCGAAACATCAAAATGGGAATAGAAATGAAGAAGAAAGAATTTTTTTTATACAAAGTGTTAGAGACTGAAAAGCTAGTAAAATGGTATTTAAAAACAATACAACAAAATTATTAACCTCTCAACTGCTCGGCTTCCAAATATGACACCCCCCCCCCCCAGTGCGCAGGAAATAAATTCTCTGGAAAAAAATTCTTTGTTTTTTTTTGGGGTGGGGGAGCCCCTATGGCTTCCCGTAGCTTACTAGGCTGATATGCTAATGTCAGACTTTGGTATAAGTCATGTGTATGGAGTTCGTATGGGCCTACCAGGGACCACACGCCAGAACCAGGCCCCTTCTAGAGAGGCAAGGAGAGCAATGGCCTATAGAAACCCCCTTGTAATTGGAAGCATTCAGTATCTGCCATCGACCGGGTTAGACGCCCAGAAAGGTAGGCGTCCCAAGACAAACCCCTATTCTGGTGAAAATTGCAACCAAAAGCCGAACGAGTGGATAGAACTCCCCAGACAAAAACGAGCAAACTAGTATGACGTCACCCACCGTCGTGCCACTGTCTGCGCAGCCCCCCCCCCCCCTCCCAGGGAGGGGGAAGGGGTTGCTTCAGACCTACCGCGCTGGCGATCCACACCCCAATTCTTGAGGCTGATTCAATCTGCTCGTTTGTGTGCTCTGGCTCCAGTATTTTTGCGGCGCTGTGCCTTGTGTGTGGCTGCTGTACTCCAGGGGTGCGAGAGCCAGGAGTTATTCCTCAGTACTCAGGCTGCATGTGCCTAGGGTTCCCTTCCCTAGGTGCCTTGTAAGTACTGCCCTTGGAGCTTCGGGTTACCTTCCACAAGTTCCTCAGGGTCTGCCTCTGTGTGTTTATTTTACTGCTCGATTTCTCAGCCACCCTTTGGGTACTTGGGTGTTTTGTCTCCCTAGTTTTCCTTTGAGTAAGAGGCAGTTTTCGCACTGGTAAGGGGCGCAGGGTGCTGCGCAGCTAGTTGTCACCTATCACAGCAGCCGGCTCTGTTCCTTGGGGTACGTTGTCCTCTTACAGGGTTTTGTTTTTCTTTTTGTTTTGTCCTTGGTGGGGGGTTCTGCTCTATTTGCCACTGGTGTTTGGCCTCACCCTGATACTTGGTGGTGCCCCCTGCTTGGTCCCTGTGAGTGTACACGTCCCTGGGGTTCAGCTTTAGACTGTTTTGTAGTTTTGGGCGCCGGTTAGCAGTACCCTGCCTGGGTTTGCCTGAGCGCGAGTCCTCTTCAATTAAACGCTCAGGACCCTGGGAATCCCCTAGGGGACGCATGGGTTCGATGGATGTGACCCCCGGGCCCCCCCCCCCTCCCTTCAAGCGAGTTTGAGGGTTGTTCGGTCTCCTTGTCTCAGGGCGACCCTCACTGTGTTTGCCTCCGTCACGCAGCCTGTGACATTTTCGACCCTGAGTCCTGTGAGTACTGCTGCTTGCTGGTGACTCAATTTACCCAATCTATGGATGATCTTCTTTGGGTACAGGCTGTGCAGTCGTTGCATTCTAGGTTTCGGTTTTTGCAACGCACTCGGTTGGTTGCTCACCCGGATGCCCCGTGGCTGCCCCGTTTTGCTTATAGGGACCCGGACTTGGGGTTGAGGGTCGCTTTGACCCTGGTTCAGTCCACACCTCCTGCTCCTTCCCCTCCTGTTGTTTGTCCTGGTTTCCCTCTTCTGCTTCCGTTCCCGAAACGTCTTAGGGTTTCTGAGTCGGGGCAGGAGTTAGTTGGTCTTGAGACTGGGGTAGCCTCAGGGGATGCCGAGGCTGCCCAAGTCTCTAAACAATAAAAAGTATTGTTTTTATTACACTATTTACACATGTTATGTATACCTATCTACATGTTTTATTCACCAGAACTATGCAAGTAAGCCGGTATTGTGTTCAAACTTTACAGTGGCCACCATACACTGCATGAGAAATCACACAGCAACCAGCAGACAACGCTTCAATTACGTCACCTTTCTCACCAAAATAGCTCTTCCCAACATACTCCTGTTCCTGTTATTACTCTATATACACACATTGTATATACCCATGTACAAATGTGTTAACCATAGCTAACCACTAAGCTAGTATGATGAGCAAAACAAAGAGTGGCTGCCACACACACAGTGAGGCTATCTCGATTCTCTCCCTCGCTTCCTCACCACAATTCCTCCTCCCACAATACTATGCACAGTGCTTATTATCACCACAATCCTGCTGTTATCACAATACTGGTCACTAATTCCTGTAAATATATAACTGACCACAAGTTTATTTTGTAAAGGAACCTAAGAAGTCGTTTGAAGATTCCTAGATGGACGCAATAATGCTGTGGTGCTGTGGCTAGTGCTGTGAACATCGTGAACAGCATTGAATCACTGAATTTTGAATCACTATTTGAACATTGTACACAGTCGTTATCACACTCAGGCTCTTCTGTAATACTATCATAGTTAAATAATACAAGTTATATATTTATATATATATATATTGGCATTACTAGGCGATACTGTGGTCACAAGCTGAACAGCAGTGCTGTGCGCTTGTGCTGCGAGTGCCAGCCTTGGTTGCTCACTCAGTACTGAGGCTCTCACACTCAGGAATGTGGACCACAATTTTTCTGTGGGGAGCCCCTACGGCTCCCTGGAGCTTATCGGGCTAATGTATGTTATATTAGACCGGGACATTAGCTAAGGAGTTCAGACCTACCAGGGACCAGCACCAGAACCTGGCCCCTTCAGAGAGGTTTCAGGGAGCAATGGCCCTGGAAAACCCCTTGTGGTTGGGGTTTTCCTTATCTGCCATCGACCGGGGTTAGGCACCCAGAAAGGTAGGCATAACAAAACAAACCCCACATGGTAAAAAACTAAAATAAAAACCGAACATAGAGGTAGAAACTCCCTACAATCACAAGGAAACAAGCAAACAAGCAAACATCACACTTTACTGCCGCGCCGATCGTTCACGCAGCCCTCCCCGCCCTGGGAGGGGGAGGGTGGAGCCCCGGACCTACCGCGCCGGCTGCCAAGCTCAGTTCGTTCGCTAATGTCAACCGGGATTGACGCTTCTCTGGCCTCAGTTTCCTAGGCGGTGTTTGCCTTGTGTGGCGTTCACTGCCGTGTGTTGTGGTGTGCGGTGGCCAGGAGTACTTCATCAGTGCCGGGGCTGCATGTGCTTAGTGGCTGACTTCCCTAAGCGCCCTGTGAGTACTGCCCTTGCGTTACAGGGTTATCTTCCCTGGGGCGTTCGGGAACCATTCCCGTAGAGGTTCTTGCTGCTCGGCATTTGCCTCGCCCTTGGGGCCAGCTGGGGCTTGGGGCCCTTGTTTGGCCCTGGGTAGGGATTGGTATTGTGCTGGTTAGGGCGTCAAGGTGTTGCACAGCCTGCCACCTAAGCGGCGGCCGGTTTCTGTTGCCTCTGGGGACGGTGTACTTTTGCAGGGGTTTTCTTTTGTTTTTTTTAAAATAAAACAATATCCCTGCTTAGAACTAATGTGTCTGGGATTGTCAACACCACATAACTGATAGTGAGCCTGGCATAGAGGTGCATACTCGCAACACCATGCAACTTGTATGTGGTGGCCAGTTAACAGGGACCGCCTGGGTGGGCGGAGATACCATCTAGTAGCAGTCGTATGCCTCACATGCGTGGTATTCTCACCACAGTAACGAATGGTTGCTTTATATACCTTGTAGTCGCAAATTTTATTGAGCCGTTGCTTGTTTCAAGGAACACTCTTGCTATGTGATAGGATTTTCTCTGGGGTTAAGCTTTTATCCCCTCCCCCCCCCCACACACTCCCCTTGCCTCTGTGAGAGTGCCAGGCTCTGGTCCTGGATAACCTGGAGTAGTTCTCGGAGGCCTGGTGGGATCCTTAACCCTTCAATTGCGCATCGCATCATATGATGCTTTGACTGACTTGCAGTAAATTGCGCATCGCATCATATGATGCTTTGGAGTACTACACAAGATTTAAACGGCCCGCGGACACGGGGTTCACCACACCTTCATCAGGGCTCTTGTAAACAGACGCCATTTTTTTTAAAAATCGTGGGCCAAACTCCAGGGTGTTAGGGGCCTCAGTATTGAGTGAGCTACCAAGCCTGACGCACACAGCATGAGCTCACAGCACTGCTGTTCAGCTTGTGACCACAGCATCGCCTAAAAATGCCATAATATACTTGTTCATGCTATTATGTAGCGATGATATTATTACAGAAGACCCCTGACTGTGATAAAACTGACCAGGGTTCTGATAATAGCAGGATTGTGGTGATATTTGGTACTGTGCGCCATGGAGGGAGGAGTAATGCTGTGGGAGGGAGGATGGTGGCATTGTCTTTTGAGTGTGTGTGGCCACCTTTTATTGACTGCACTCACTATACCAGCTTAGTGGTTCGCTATGGTGAACACAAATGTAGATACTTATATATAACGTGTGTATAGTGTGAGATAACAGCGAGAGTAGGAGGTTGGGAGCCGCCATTTTGGAGAGGGAGGAGCGTCGTCTGCAGGACTTATCATGTTGTTTACTGATGACCACAATGGTCTTTGGGCACCATACCAGTTTACTTGTACAAGTATGGTGAATAAAACAGGTAGATATTTATATATAATGTGTGTATGTAGCGTAATAACACCACAAAGAGTATTGTTGTAGGAGAAATATTAGTGCGTCTGGCCTTGAGGGCGGCCGCCACCAGCTGACTGTGTGAGTAGCTACGTCTCTCTGCCTTTACTCACCATACAAGCTTAGATGTACAGTTATGGTGAACAAAACATGTAGATACTTATATATAATGTCTGTATATAAAAGGAAAAACAGTATGGTGGGTGGAGAATGGTGGCAAGGCAGGTGAGGTGAGGTGAGGGAGGGAGTGGCAGCCAGTGGCAGCCAGTCACTGCCTGCCACTGCCACTTAGCATACCAACTTAGTGGTTTGTCATGGTGAACAAAACATGCAGATACTTATATATAACCTGTGTATATAGTGTAATAACCGACAAAGTATTTGTTCACTGTTTGATGAACATAATTGAATCAACAATACGCACACCATATTTTTGAGTACAGTGATGGTTCACTCATTTTATTATATAAATATATCACACTACACACTATTGAATAATATTACAGCGAAAAAACTACGAAAAATCAATCAGAGACATTGAAATAATTAGGTAATTATCTCTTTGTGGAAACTCTGGCCTGACAGCTGGCGATCAACAGACCGCCTGGGACGCACGCTCAGTCAGCGCCTGATTTCTGTCACAATTCCCCACCCTATAGTGGGCAATATATGCCACTTACGATTTTTTTATTATTTTTCCCGTGATCAGTGAACACAAATTAACAGGTTAGGAAGAAAAAATAATTTTTTTTTTTTTTTTTTTTTGGTATGCGCCTGTGGGTGTCAAATGGTATATAGCTATGCACCATTTAAGGGTTAAGGGTTGGCATCGCCAGAGCAGTAATTTTAAGAGCTACTGAGGCGCCCTACAAGAAAGCAGCACCAACTAGCAAGATTCAGTTATTAGAATATGTATAAAATAGGGCAATAAATCTTAACTGACTCATGTTGACCGTGCATTGTTTGACAGACTATAATGATATAAACAAGTGTGTTAATAACCCCCAATCCTCATTTATGAAGAGAAAGGAAAGTGATGACAATTTGGCCCATCCTGGATGACCTGAAACCTCATCAGTTTCCTTTCTTTTCTTTCCACAAGGTTAGTTTATTTATCTTCAGCCAGGTTATTGTGCTTTAATCTTTGCAAACAAATGTATTTCCTGGTAGTTTGAATTTTGTTCACTATGAGACATTGTTTATTAGCATGACCAATGTATTTCAGGTTTATGTAATTGAGGGCATGATGCTGGGTGCACGCCAGCTGTCGGAATTTGATGGCCTACAACAGCTGCTACAACAACTGAGGCATTTAAGTTTATGCCACACAGATGTTGACCGAAGACAAACGTCAGCCATCCTCCATGCAGTGATTATTAATAAAATTCCAGTTGGTAAGATAAGGCTATGCTATTTCTTTGCCCTCTCAGTTATTACCTGTTGAATCATTAAAGTGTGGTTTGTAATCATATGTTGATATTCCATGGAAATGAAGTTATTGTCATATGTTGATTTTAGTTATTATCACTTGGTCTTCTGGTGGGAGCCCCCATCGGCTTCCTGGAGCTATCAGACTGATATTGCAGTCTCCGTGGTGTAGTGGTAAGACACTCGCCTGGCGTTCCGCGAGCGCTATGTCATGGGTTCGTATCCTGGCCGGGGAGGATTTACTGGGCGCAATTCCTTAACTGTAGCCTCTGTTTAACGCAACAGTAAAATGTGTACTTGGATGAAAAAACGATTCTTCGCGGCAGGGGATCGTATTCCAGGGACCGTAGGATTAAGGACTTGCCCGAAACGCTACGCGTACTAGTGGCTGTACAAGAATGTAATAACTCTTGTATATATCTCAAAAAAAAAAAAAAAAATAAAAATATTAGCTATATTAGTCTGGGGCTTCACTCACATGGAGTTCTGCCTACCAGGAACCACGAGCCAGAACCTGGCTCCCTCAGAGAGGCACAGGGAGCAATGGCCTATGAAAACTCCACTCTTTGAGAGTATATTCATGTCTACCATCGACCGGGGTTAAGCACCCAGAAAGGTAGGCGCCCCAAAACAGACTCCCAAACTGGTAGAAAATTGAAACCCAAGACCGAACAGAGCCCAAGAACTTCCCCCAAGAAAAACAAGGAGCGTTGGCCAGGAGTAACCGGTACCTCTGGCTACATACACTTAGGGTTCTCTTCCCTAGGCACCCTGTAAGTACTTCCCTTGGTTCTCAGGGTTATCTTCCCTGGGGCGTTTGGGTTACTCTCATAGGGGTTGTTGTCGCTTGACATCGGGCCTTGCCCTTGGGGTCCGCGGGCATCTTGGTGCTTTTATTTGGTACAGGGTAGGGAGTGTTTGTTGCTGATTAGGGCACACGGTGCTTTGCAGCTCGCATACTAGCTGCAGCCGTGTGTGTCTCTCTCTCTCTCTGGCCTCCTGTTGTTTTGGTGCACTTTCGGGGTTTCTTTTCCTTTCTTTTCAAGTTATTTTCTGCCTGGTGGAAGGCTGCCTGGATTCCCATTAGGTACACCTAGGTTCCATGTGGTAGTCCTCCACTCGGCCTCCCCAAGGTTGCTCCCTTCACAGGGGTCAGTTTGCCTGGTAAATAGACGGGGTTTTGCCGGCTTTTCTGCACCAGTGCCTGGGCTCCCCATAAGGCTGGAAACCCCATTGGGCTTTGGATATGTCTTCCAAGTCCCATCTCGCCTTGTGCGAGTTTGAAGGTTGTTCGTTGTCCTTGTCTCAAGGTGACGATCATCTGTTTTGCCTCCATCATGCTGCTTGTTGGTTCGACGACACTTTCGATCTGGAGTCGTGCAGGACTTGTTCCCCACTCGCCTTCCGATTTACCCATTCTTCTTCGGGAGATCTTAGGTGTCAAGCAGCTGTTGCATTACATGCCAGGTTTTTGTTAGTGCAACGCGCTAGGTTGGTTGTTTCAGGACCAACATCTTATGCCGAATACTGTCACTTCTTATTGTGCGGCGTTGGCAGAGCCACTCCAGCTTGCGTTCGGTTTGGATGTCACTTCGGCTCCGTTCTGTAAGCTTTCTCGTGTGTTTCTCTACCTCTGGCCTGCTCATGCACAGCCTGAGCTGTCCTGGCCTTTGGACCGGGTGCTCTCTCTCTCTACTGTCTTCTCCTCGGTTTGTTGTGGCTCCTTCGGTCCAAGATTGTTTTTAGAATGCTTGTTTTTGTTGGCTTTGGCCTCTGGGGGTCGGGTCAGTGAGCTACATGCTCTCCTCCTGCACAGGGGTTTCTGCTTTTTTAGTCTTGGTAGACATTTTGTTCATTTGCATCCGTCTCCTTCTTTTCTGGCAAAGAATGAGACGGCGGGCATCCTGAGAGGCCCGTGGGTTATTGATGCTTGGTTGGGCAGGCCGGGGATGCATCATGTTTTGTGTCCGGTTGCAGCTCTCCGCCATTACCTGTGCGCCTTGGCTTGTGTCCGAGGACGCACTTTGGGTTGATCCGATTTCCCTCATTCCCTGTTCCAGAGCTCAGGATTCTCTGATCGTCTACAGGGTTATCAAATCTAGCCAGCCTGCGATCTACCCTCATGCCCATGATGTTCGGAAGTTTGTGGCTCTTGCTGCTGTGTTTAGGAACATGTCTTTGGATCACATTTTGGCACGGGGTTTTTGGAGGTTGAACAGGGTCCTGGCCGTCCGTTATCTCATGAATGTTCCGGGCTCTCAGCGGTCTTGTGTGGCCTTGGGCTGTCAGTTGCAGCCAGTTGTCTTGTCTTCGTCATGAGGCACACAGTGCTGCCACCTCCCGGGTAAGTCCTTCTTTTACTTATCTTTGTGTATCTAGCTCCAGGGAGCCAAAGGAGGCTCCTATTGTATTGCGGGTTGGATGTCCTCGTTGATCCTTCTCTGTGGACAACCCAACCCACAACTCGGTAGAGTGCTTATACTTTACCAGGAGATCACACTGGGCGCTTCTGGCTCTTGGAGAGGGGCTCAGTGTCACACGTTTAGGGAATGCGGCTCCAATACTTAGCCTCGTTGTCACGTGCACACACCCACTCGAGCCGCTGTGACTCCGCACTCTCTCCTTATGTGATATGATCTCCTCAATCCCCTTTGACTTATTAGTTTTCCATTCTACCCTGTCCACAGCTGTGGTTCTTGGTTCTTTCTCTCTCTCCCCTTCTTTTTTACTTCCTGGGAAGCCTCACTAGGACAAGGGCAAACACCCGCAAATTTTAATACATTTACTGGACAAAGTACATACACAATGCATGCACACATAATAATAATAATGAATCCTACACTCTACACTATTTCAGTGAGGTTGCACTCCAACACCATCAGAACTCTATCATCAGCTTATCAAGTGGTATCCTTTCTCCGGATTCACCACCTAATACTACCAACCTCCTCAAGTAGGTCAAGTCTTATAAGACAATGTTGCACTATCAGCAAGACAATATATATATCTGTAAACATGTACAAGGAAAATCAGCGTATGAATACAATAACATAAATATTAGTATAAATGTTCCTTGATATACAACAATTATCAATCGATCACCCTATCAATCCTAGAATACATATGTATGTCTCTGTAGGTAATCCGGCCTACGACCGTAACTCTATACTTCAGTATAAGTACTCCTCGGCACAAAAATGGCAAACAGTCACTCACCTGTCACTGCGTCTTGCATGCTAATGACAACCAAACACTCTACCAACTCCCTACAAGTAATCAACCAGAACTTCCCTTCCACATCTGGAAGCTCACTACCCTGATCTCTTCAGGTTCTTTCGGGTTTATCTACCAGGATCCTCCGCAGCTCTTCCAGGCTGCTACACCATGAAGTCTTCCTTGAGCAACTATGGTGCTTCACCACCTCTACTAGGGTCCTCCACAGCTCTCCTGGCTGCTACACCATGAAGTTTCCTCGAACAGAACTGGAGCTTTGCCACTGGTATTACAGAAGCACGTGACACTCCTCTTCACTGCTTCTCCTCACAGCTCGAGGTCCTCTGCTCCACTACCTTGGAGTCTCATCAACTACTCCCTCTGTGCTGGCTTCGAAGTTCTCAGCAACTTCTTCCCAAAGACAAACCTGCAACCCATTGACACGCCAATAAAAACGTTTCCTTATAAACACATAAACGAAATAATCCACACAATATGTTTGTATCCAACATCCATCTGCTCTCTACACACTGTGAGAGCGGACTCCCCTGTTTGGGCTGGTCCATGCTCCGCCTTGCCCGGCGGGCGGCTCCTCAACTCTGGGAGGGTCCTCCGCCGCCAGTCAGTTGGCTTCAGGCGGTCAACGGGAGAGGACGTGCTGCTCGTCCCTCCAGCTGTCTCTCTCATCTCTATCCTCTTATTTAGGCTTTCTGTCTCACCAAAACATGTCTAACCTATCAATAAATGTTCACTACTGTCACTGGGCACACGATCAACTACAAGTAATCACTATAGACTGGCTTAAAATCGTGCTTACCACTGATTGTCTAGTTGAGGGCGCTCTCCCCCCTGACTGAGTCTGATCAGGGGGCTCCCACGGCCCACGATAATGTCTCTGGGCAGCTTAATAAACTCTCCTCGCCGTCCAGGACTTGAGACCACAACGTTCCCACCTCGATTCCACAGCTGGAACGTCTGCACACTTCCCTCCTCTTGAAGGTATATCACACGGGTTCCTTTCTAACGGGAGCTCAAACGGAGCACAGCTTTCCCTTGCGATGTCTGGTACTCAAGTGACTTAAGCTCCTCTCTAAGCGGGCCTCACACCTCCAGCAAATTATCCACATCTCATAACCAGTCATTTATCTAATTTCTTATTCACTGCCCATAATCTCAAATTGTTTATCAAATCCAACCAACTATTTTACACCTGTGTCTTCACCTCTAATTTCCTAGACCTTCTAGTCAGGTCAGGCTTGATAGAATAATTCTCAAAGGGGAGACTCATTTTTTTGGCTACCTGGGATCATAATACTCCCCACAGACAACCAGCATTGAATGTAATGAAATGCCATTTTCTGGATGAGCCCCGGAGGCTCCCTGACACCCTCCCTGCCTCCCTCCCTCCAGTTTTTCTTCCATTTGCTCAGTCTCCAAACTGGTGAGCAGGCGACTGGCTCGAGAGGGCGGGGCCTCCCCATGAGTAGCGCGTTGGTTTGATGACGATTTGCTTGTTGCCTTGTTTTTCTTGGGGAAATTGGAGTTCTTGGGCTCTGTTCGGTCTTGGGTTGCAATTTTCTACCAGTTGGGGTCTGTTTTGAGGCACTTACCTTTCTGGGTGCCTATCCTCGGTCGATGGCAGACATGAATATATTCTCAAAGAGTGGAGTTTTCATAGGCCATTGCTCCCTGTGGCTCTCTGAGGGAGCCAGGTTCTGGCTCATGGTTCCTGGTAGGCAGAACTCCATGTGACTGAAGCCCCAGACTAATTTAGCCAATATCAGTCTGATAGCTCCAGTGAGCCTCCGGGGCTCACCCAGAAAATGGTGTTTCATGACATTCAACGCTGGTTTTATGCAAATGATGTAAATATGTTTATAATACATATATAAGAATGTAATGGTGTTAACCTATGCCCATGAAATAAATTCTGCTTTCATTTTTAACTGCTTATTACTGTAATGATGAGGTTATTGTGACCCACAAGCAATGCAATTGTTGTTAAATCACAATATGGTGTTTCCTGCCGATGTTTGACTATTTCTGGATGACATTACCAGACAGAATAGTAGCAAATGAGTTGACTGCAAAACACTTCCTTTTAGCTTTGCCATGAAGAGATTTACATGCAATATTGGTGTACATATTACATTGTAGACCTTTGTACAGTACTCAATCTCCCAAGAACTGGAAGCGAGGGCCAACAAAAACAGAGCCTTCATAAAGGTGTCCCTGACTGATGGTATGACCGAGAATCTAGGTAAGGAAAGAAAAATCAACACACTATCCACAAGATCACACAACTCAGGAGGAGAGTGAGCTGGCCAGATGTGAAAGAATGCACGAGGCAACTTGCAAAATGGCACGGAAAAAGTACCAACGCCGAATGCTAACATAAAAGACCAAATGATAAGAGGCAACAGTCTAAAGTATAAGATGCTGAATGACAAACAACCAAGACAAGAGACAAACCCATAGGAACACAATAAAAGAACAATGGAGAGAGAAAAAGAGTGCAAAGAAGTTCTTGCTGTTGCTGCAACAAAAGACACGGGCGGGATACCAATAACTTGGACACCCACGCACCATGCAGTTGGTGATAGGCCCATGTCTAAAAGTCCAGATGTGTAGATTGGAGGAAAACAACAAACCAATGATGATCCTCACCAGGTCAATTGGTTGATAAGGGTGGAGCCAGAGAAAATCGACCTGGTTCAAACACCAAGCCAGATGACCCAGAAAACATGGCTGAGCCGGCCACCAAGAAGCCAGAAGGCTCACCCAGCCCATGGAAGTCTTCACCCTGGACAACACAGGAGTAACAGCTGGACTGGAGGGAAGAACTTCATAAAACCCCACCTCAACCAGTTCAGCCAAAAGGCATCCATTACAAGAGCCTTGCAATAGAGGAATAGAACCACTTAAGAAGGAAACTGTCAGTTCCATGCTGACATAAAAAGGTCCACCTCAGTGCACCTGTACGTCTCACAGAGCCACTGGAAGGATATGTCGTCGACGATCCACTCCATGGAAATGGTATGGAAATAAAAGGGCTGTCCACAAGAATGCTGGACATCCCTGCACATGAACCACAGAGAGAACCAAACCCCAAGAATTCAGAAGTCAAGCTACTTGCAGAGTCAAGTTCCAAAAGGAGACTATCGAAGCAACTCCTGCAATTGAGAATCACCAGAGAGCAGTCTGAATGGAGCTGGAGAACAGAATGACAAACCATGCAGAAGAAGATGAACTCTGCTTGGCCTTCTACACCCCTGTAAACATGTGCAATGTTCTGTACTCCTGGTGGAAAGAGTCTGCCCAATTATTCTGCATGACCTGGGGAGCACTGGACACACAAACCCTAACCTTGGGGCGAGTCATCTCTTAACACATTAAGTGACATAGGAGGAAAGCACCACAAAAAGAAAGCCTGAAGAGGACTGTACTCCAGGCTGCCTGGTGGTGGCAATCAGTACTAATGGGTTTGAGCTAATTTTAAGTGCATTGTTTTCTTTTATTCGAATCATTTGGGGAGTTGTTTGGCAGTTTTCAGGCTTCAATTCTTGTGAACCCAGTAGTTGCCTGTTAAACTCTCACTCACTGTCTGGAAGCTTGCTTTACCAGTAAAATAGTGGAATGTCATTTGCTCTCAGCACCTCTTTGAAGGGGGTCAAGTTCTGGCTGTATGGTCTCTGGTAGGCCAAACAAAACTCCTGTGACTGATGTGGCTTGTAGTACAGAGTAATCTCGGCAAAATAAGTACAGGGGTCCATCAGAGCCTTTCCAGAAAGAGGAGTTTTATTACATTAAACCCTGAATTTTTGGATGCAAATTCATGCCTCACAAACTCTATAAGTATCATGTGACTGGGTAACCATGATCAAACAAGACAAGAGTGGGTAGACAGATTGCATATTTTTTATATATCAGAAGGTCATGGATACGAATGAATACTCTAGTTCACAAAGTGGAGAAACACTCAGAAGTGACAAAGGAAGAGCCCTACTTATGGAATATCATATCATGAGAACATGATATACAATTGTACATGTGTTTTATTCCTATGTATAGTGAGACATTTAGATACTTTCTCCACACCCGGTGCCTCTGTTCACCTAGACATAAATAGATACATGAGGCTTGGCCAACTGTTGTGGGTCACAGCCTAAAAAAGGCCAGTTGTTGGAATAAGACGAGTGACAGGCTACCTGTCTCCAACACTGGAATAAGATGAGTGACAGGCTACCTGTCTCCAACACTGGAATAAGACGAGTGACAGGCTACCTGTCTCCAACACTGGAATAAGACGAGTGACAGGCTACCTGTCTCCAACACTGGAATAAGACGAGTGACAGGCTACCTGTCTCCAACACTGGAATAAGACGAGTGACAGGCTACCTGTCTCCAACACTGGAATAAGATGAGTGACAGGCTACCTGTCTCCAACACTGGAATAAGACGAGTGACAGGCTACCTGTCTCCAACACTGGAATAAGACGAGTGACAGGCTACCTGTCTCCAACACTGGAATAAGACGAGTGACAGGCTACCTGTCTCCAACACTGGAATAAGATGAGTGACAGGCTACCTGTCTCCAACACTGGAATAAGACGAGTGACAGGCTACCTGTCTCCAACACTGGAATAAGACGAGTGACAGGCTACCTGTCTCCAACACTGGAATAAGATGAGTGACAGGCTACATGTCTCCAACACTGGAATAAGATGAGTGACAGGCTACCTGTCTCCAACACTGGAATAAGATGAGTGACAGGCTACATGTCTCCAACACTGGAATAAGATGAGTGACAGGCTACCTGTCTCCAACACTGGAATAAGATGAGTGACAGGCTACATGTCTCCAACACTGGAATAAGATGAGTGACAGGCTACCTGTCTCCAACACTGGAATAAGATGAGTGACAGGCTACCTGTCTCCAACACTGGAATAAGATGAGTGACAGGCTACCCGTCTCCATCATTGGAATAAGATGAGTGACAGGCTACCTGTCTCCAACACTGGAATAAGATGAGTGACAGGCTACCTGTCTCCAACACTAGAATAAGACGAGTGACAGGCTACCTGTCTCCAACACTAGAATAAGATGAGTGACAGGCTACCTGTCTCCAACACTGGAATAAGATGAGTGACAGGCTACCTGTCTCCAACACTGGAATAAGACGAGTGACAGGGTACCTGTCTCCAACACTGGAATAAGACGAGTGACAGGCTACCTGTCTCCAACACTGGAATAAAATGCGTGACAGGCTACCTGTCTCCAACACTGGAATAAGATGAGTGACAGGCTACCTGTCTCCAACATTGGAATAAGATGAGTGACAGGCTACATGTCTCCAACACTGGAATAAGACGAGTGACAGGCTACCTGTCTCCAACATTGGAATAAGATGAGTGACAGGCTACATGTCTCCAACACTGGAATAAGACGAGTGACAGGCTACCTGTCTCCAACATTGGAATAAGATGAGTGACAGGCTACATGTCTCCAACACTGGAATAAGACGAGTGACAGGCTACATGTCTCCAACATTGGAATAAGATGAGTGACAGGCTACATGTCTCCAACACTGGAATAAGACGAGTGACAGGCTACCTGTCTCCAACACTGGAATAAGACGAGTGACAGGCTACCTGTCTCCAACATTGGAATAAGATGAGTGACAGGCTACATGTCTCCAACACTGGAATAAGACGAGTAACAGGCTACATGTCTCCAACATTGGAATAAGATGAGTGACAGGCTACATGTCTCCAACACTGGAATAAGACGAGTGACAGGCTACCTGTCTCCAACACTGGAATAAGACGAGTGACAGGCTACCTGTCTCCAACACTGGAATAAGATGAGTGACAGGCTACCTGTCTCCAACATTGGAATAAGATGAGTGACAGGCTACATGTCTCCAACACTGGAATAAGACGAGTGACAGGCTACCTGTCTCCAACATTGGAATAAGATGAGTGACAGGCTACATGTCTCCAACACTGGAATAAGACGAGTGACAGGCTACCTGTCTCCAACACTGGAATAAGACGAGTGACAGGCTACCTGTCTCCAACACTGGAATAAGATGAGTGACAGGCTACCTGTCTCCAACATTGGAATAAGATGAGTGACAGGCTACATGTCTCCAACACTGGAATAAGACGAGTGACAGGCTACCTGTCTCCAACATTGGAATAAGATGAGTGACAGGCTACATGTCTCCAACACTGGAATAAGACGAGTGACAGGCTACCTGTCTCCAACACTGGAATAAGACGAGTGACAGGCTACCCATCTCCAACACTGGAATAAGATGAGTGACAGGCTACCCGTCTCCATCATTGGCAAACCATCTTATTATAGTCATTGAGTAACTTACAAGAGGCTGGCAGAAAAGTATTCTGAACTAGCATAGTGTGTGTGTAGTGTAAATAGAGTTGTAATTAATTAAGGATGGTAAAGGCTTGTCTACAGTTTGCTTGTGTTGTGTTGTAGGATCAACCTTCACTCAAGCACTTGCTCAAAGTAGAGAGGAGCTGTACCAGATCTTAGATGCCACCAATGCAATTGAGAAGCAGAAAGCAGCACTCCAGACACTTACCTGGATTTGTAAGGCGTTGGTGACACGTGGTTCCGAAGACCAGGATATGTGGACAGCTAAGGTATGGTATCTTTATATGTTGCTAAACTGCAGTTTTTCTACATCACTTGATGTAGCTCATATATTTTAACAGATACTGTAATATTAATAATATATTATTAATGTTTGCTTCACTTGATGATGGATTCTCTGGTAGTATTTCCAATATTACTGCTTGAATTGTGTTAACACTAGAAGGCTAAATGTGTAGATTTGTAACCTGTTCATGAATCAATTTCTGTAAGAAGGAACCCCACATACATCAGCATGTCAAAGATGTACATAATGGCATTCATAAATTACCAGAGTTGCTGGATTATAGGACACGTGTATAGGACATTCCACCAAGCAAATATATACTGTATTGTACTTCTATGCACAAAATTATGTTTTCCTTAGAAAACCACTTGAAAATCCTTTATAATGTATGATGAAATCTTAAAAAAAAAATCTGCAAAATATCCTTGTAAACCAGACAGTAAGTCACAATAGTGTGGCTGAAATATTAGACAACCAACCCATTCACATCTGAAAATTAAAAATGTGATAATGTTTTGGTTGGTCCTGGACCATTATCTAGTCATGTTATATTTTCAGATTTGTGGGATGGGGTCTCATTATATCCTTGTAAATATGGTGTTTTATATCCCGGCAAATACGGTATATTTAATCACTTTTCTTTACTCGTATCTGGAATCGTATGATATTGCATGTAAAAATTTATGAGAAATGTTGCAGCCATACTATTGAATGGAAACAAATGTATATGGAAACTGTATGTGGTGGTGTTGCATCTGTAACAAAAGATTTCACCTGGGCTGTGCAGAATTATCTCCAGGATGCACAAAAAGGCAAGGAATTTACTGGGTTTGCAAAGATGACAGATTAATGTTGGAGAACATAACTAAACTGATGAAAAACATTCCCGAGTCACAGCGATTTTCATTCACAGAAAAGCTACCAGTGATATATGCGGACTGGGAAAAGATAACATTGGATAACGACCAAAACTCAGGAACAGATAGTTTGGAGAACCGCAGCAGTAGTGTGGAGGAAGAAGGTATTGTGGTACAAAATAACAGCAATATTACAGAGCTAGGTAATATAAACAATGAGAGCAACAGTGAGACAGAGTGCATAAATGAAGGAATTGGGACGAAAAACGAAGTTGGCTCCAATAAAGAGGTAGACAAGACAGACAGGTATAAATACCTTGAAAAATGCAAAACCTGAACATATTTGCAAATTCTACACTAAAGGAATATGCAAATATGGAAAATTAGGAGCAAAATGCAATTTTCTGCATCCTCGAAAATGCAGGAACATGTTGGCGAGGGGTACATGCCGTTTTGGAACAGGGTGTAGATACTTTCACCCTAAATTATGTCAATTTTCAATTAGGGACATGAAATACTACAATCTTCAGTGCCTGGAATTCCACGTGAGAGGTACACAGCGTTATAGACAGGAAGATCAAGATGACACTAATGGAAATTTTTTAGAGGAAGGCAGAAACAGAGTAGAAAATATAAGGGAGAAGAACAGTCAGATGGAACCACTACAAGATTACAGAGGGGAAGGGAGATACCCAAAAGACTGGAATACAAATTATCAACAAGCACACAGGTACTACACCACACAACACCCGTCCTACTGCCAAAACTGGACGAATCACTTCCAAAACAACATACCCTGGACCTGGGTAGAGTGGGGGGAGAACTACCAAAGCCCACCAGAAGTGACACACAATGTAGGAAATTATTCATATTTGCAAACATACAAGGCTTGAAACCAAAATCAAGAAATAAAATTAAGTTCATAAATGGCCTCCTAATAGAATGCGGTATGTGCCTTTTCGCTCCGGGGGTGTCCTGGTTTCCAGCTGTGGGGAGGACGCCAAGGTTTTCTCTGTGTCATGGGTGTGGACCGCCTCCTTCGCCTCTACCTTGCTCTCCTGCGGGTCCGGCCGGGTCCGGCTCTGGCGTCTTCACCTGGCGGTGCTCCCAGGTTCTTCTGGGCACGGTTGAGTCGTGTTACGTTCGTGCCACCGTTCGCCAGGCGAGTTTCTGCGGTCTGGCGTCTTTTGGCCAGGTGCTGGATGCGGCGGTGTTTATATACCTGTCTTTATTTAGGTATATTTTTGTACGACTGAGACCGTTCGCACACCAGTGATTGTCCCTTTTTCAACCCTTCCTGTCCCACTCATGTGCATGTCCAACCCATGCTAGGGTCATTCAGGGAACCCACCCTTTTTAGTGTTATGAGGTGTGGGGGTTGTAGTGTTGGTTCTGTACTCACCTGGTAAGGCTCCTGGCTGTGGTTGCAGGGTTTGAGCTCTGGCTCTTGGGTCCCACCTATCTGGTAGAACTTGCGGGATAGTACCAGTGGAGTGCAGTGGTGCTATAGGCACAATCGGGGAACACTGTATAACCATCAGAGGTCTGCGGTTGTTATATGACCTACTTGCGAGCATACGCCTTATTGCTGGTACGTCCGTGGACTGCCGGGGCACACTAGCTTGTTTTCGAATAGAAGTTCCGGCCCATCCTGGTTGTGGGGGGTATGTGGGCGTGCGGGCCGCTCCAAGCAGCTGCCTGGTGGGCCACTTTCTGGCCGGTCTAGCCTGGCCTCGGGCCGGGCTTGAGGTGTAAATGAGCTCCCAGTACCTCATCCAGCAGGTATCGAGCGAGGTTTCTCCTCCGTCGGTCCCCTGGTGTGCAGGTTTCTGGGCCTGTCGTGTCTCCGTTGGCCCCGTCTGGGGTCTGCCTGCTCCGTTCTCTGCCTTTGCAGAAGTGAGTTGCTATTTACATGTTGCATGTTGCGGTGGTGCCTATTGCTGCTGCTGCACGTGTGCATTGGTACCGTGTTTCACGGTGGCGTGTCCATGTTCCTGTGTCCGGTTGTGGTGTGGCACTTTGCTGCTGTTTTGTGCCTGGGGTTTGCGTACGGGGGTTTGCTTGTTGTTTTTCGTGGTCTTCGGGTCCCTGGTTTGGCCCTCTCATGTGTGTGGGGTTTTTCTGTCCCTGCCTGATTGTCCACCCCTGGTTGTTTCCTGGGGTTTTGTGCTTCAGCTCTTTCATCCTGCCTCTCCCCAGTCGTTTTCCTGGCATCTCCTTTGGTCGGTTTTGCCTGCACTTGCTGCTATGTTGGGGGGGCGTGGTCGGTTTCCACCGCTTCATTTTCTTGTGCGTTCCCTTGTTTCCTTCTCTGCCACAGGGGTGTTCTGCGTGTGTTCCTTGGCTTCTTGGGCGTTTTTTAGCCTGTGTCCTGTGGTGTGCTTCTTTGTCTCGGTCTGTTGTAGTTGCTCGTACCCTTTGGTTCGGGTACTGTTTCTGGTGGCAACCCTTCCACCTTCTTTGGTTTCCTAGCTTGCCCTGCCGGTTGGTTTTTCGGGGTCTTGCCATGTCTCGCGTCGGACCCGTCGTTCTGAACTCCTGGCGGGCTTGCTTGCTTTGGGGAGTTTTTTATTCAGCAGACGTTCCATCTCTTTGTGCCACCTGGGTTTCGGTGGTCGCTCCCGAGATCTTCCCGCGGCTCCGCCTTTTCCTGGGCTCGGGGGGGCCTTGTCGAGCCTGCTTACGTTCTGCCTCGCAGTCTCGCCTCCGGTTGGTGGTCGGGTGACTTTGTGGTAGGTGTCCCACCTGCGTACTCCTCTTGGCGGCAGTATGGGGTATTTTGGCGGTCCTTCCTTTTCCTGTCCCTTCTTAGGTGGTTGCACTTGTTAGCGTCGGCTTGGTTTTCTGGTGGGGGTTGGGGGCCGTCGTCTTGCCACATACTGTCGCCTCTTTTCGTGCGGCGCTGGCGGAGCCGCTTCAGCTTGCTTTCGGTCTTGGTGTTGCTTCTGCACCATTAGTAAGCTGTCTCGTGCGTCGTTTCACCTCCGGCCTGTTCGTGCGCCGCTTCCACTGTCCTGGTCTCTGGTCAGCGTGCTCTGTGTTCTCCTCGGTTGGTAGTGCCCGTTCGGTTCCGGTTTGTTTTTTCGTCGGCTCATTTGCCTCTGGGGGTCGGGTCGCTGAGTTTTCTTGCTCCTTCGGTTTTAGTGTTTTGGTTGTTCGGTGGCAGTAGTCTCCATCTTTTTTGGCGTGGGGTGGGGCTGCTGTGTTCTGGAGGGGTCCATGGTTTGTTGGTGCTTTGTTGGTCGGGCCGGGGGGGGGTGTCGTGTTTTGTGTTCAGTGGCGGCCCTCCGCTGTTGCTTGGGTGCCACGGCGTCTGTGTCCGGAGCCATTTTGTGTTGATCCGGTTCTGTTCTTCCCGGCGGGTGTTGGTGTCCCGGGTTGTCAGCCGTGTTCTTGCGGCTAAGCTGCCTGTGTTCTTCCCTCATGCCCGTGGCGTTCGTGGCTTCGCTGCTTTCGCTGCCGTCTTTGGCGATGTGTCCTTGCGGTCTTTCCGGCATGGTTCTTTGGTGTTCGTACAGGGGCCTTGCTGCTCGTTGTTTTCATGTTTTTCCCGGGACTTTTCGGGCCTGTGGCGCCTTGGGTTGGTGTTTGCTGCCGGTTGTCTCGCTTCTGTGGGGGGGTGCATGGTGCCCGCCTCCTGGTTCCGTCCCTTTGACCTTCCTCTGTGGGTAGTTAGCTCCAGGGAGCCGACGGGGCTTCCCCCAGTAAACCAGCGTTGAATGTAATGAAATGCCATTTTCTGGGTGATACCTGGAGGCTCCCCGGCAACCCTCCCTCCCTCCGGTTGGCGGTTTTTCGCGTGTTTTGACATCCAGCCTCAGAATTGATGGGTGGGTAGCCGGCGTCATACTAGTTTGCTTGTTTTCTGTTGAGGAGTTCTATCCACTAGTTCGTCTTTAGGTAGCAATTTTCACCAGAATAGGGGTTTGTTTTGGAATGCTTACCTTTCTGGATGCTTGACCCAGTCGATGGCAGACATAGAATGCTTCCAACCACACGGAGGTTTCTATAGGCCATTGCTCCCCTTGCCTCTCTGAGGGGGCCAGGTTCTGGCCGTGGTCCCCGATAGTCCCTAGAACTCCATACACATGACTGATGCCAAAGTCTGACATTAGCATATCAGCCTGGTAAAGCTCCGGGGAGCCTCCGGGTCTCACCCAGAAAATGGCGTTTCATTACATTCAACGCTGGTTTTTTACCATGTGGGGTTTGTTTTGTTATGCCTACCTTTCTGGGTGCCTAACCCCGGTCGAAGGCAAATAAGGAAAACCCCAACCACAAGGGAGTTTTCCAGGGCCATTGCTCCCTGAAACCTCTCTGAAGGGGCCAGGTTCTGGCGCTGGTCCCTGGTAGGTCTGAACTCCTTAGCTAATGTCCCGGTCTAATATAACATACATTAGCCCAATAAGCTCCAGGAAGCCTCCGGGGCTCACCCAGAAAATGGCGTTTCATTACATTCAACGCTGGTTTTCTTGCTAATTATAATGCATATCGTTGACGTGGCTTTGTTGTACTGCCTACACAGTTCCACAACACATGTACCATTTTCATGCTTCAGAATGATCTCTTGTTTTTCTTCTATTGTCATCCTCACATGCGCTTTCTTGCCTTGATCCTTACAACTGGCTTTCTTGGGATCCGTGGTGAGATATATATTATAACAACTTTTATGGTCAAATGGCCAAAGATCCAACAAAACACTGAAAATCCTGGTGAAGAATTCAGGCGGGATAGTCACTCGGCGCGAGGCACTGGTAAACTGAGGGGCGATCGCCGTGCCATCACGCTCTAGGTCAGCCTGTACGCGTATCAACACCCTCGCCCTCCGAGGCAACCCTCGTATTCCGATGCAAATTTTCCGAGCAAATCCTGCTCGTATTCCGAAGAACTCATATACAGGGACTCTCGTATTCCGAGGTACCACTGTATTCCTAAATTCTATCACCAAAATGGTTAATTGAGACACTCATAATCATTAATGCATGTAAGGCCCTCAAACATTATTTACTACTGTATTTCTCTTCCATTTATAGTCTTTATTTAATTTTCAACAGGTGCAGAAATTACTTTGTGATCCAAACCTTGGATTAGATGCTGCCCACAGCTTTGAAGTTATCCTCAAGGATCATGAATATGCTTTGAGAACAGACACCTTTGCTAATATAAGGTATTGCACTTTTTATTTAATAATGTTCATCGTAAATATACTTTAGTTATGAATTGCAAGTTACAGATGGCCTCAAATCATTAATAGGCAAAGTCTGAACATTTGTGAGTTAACCAAAGTGGTTTTAACTTTTATTACATGGGCTGGATCTAACCTGGGCAACAAAAATTTCTGTTTTTCATGAGTTTGAAAACTGTGATGTTCATTTTAACACTTAGGCACCTGACACCAATATTCACTAAGTATGCACCAACCCCACACCAACTTAGCACAAGTTGATGTGGGGTTGGTGTATGTTGCAATATTTTTATTATTAAATGTTTGTTTCATCACACAGTTCAAATATCCTTCAATACCTGCTGCACCACAAGAAACCTGCATGCAGAAATAAAAAGCATTTACTTACATGCAGACGATGAGTCACAATAACGTGGCTGAAATATGTTGACCAAACACACTAGAAAGTGAAGGGACGACGACGTTTCGGTCCGTCCTGGACCATTCTCAAGTCAATTGTGAGACTTGAGAATGGTCCCAGGATGGACCAAAACGTCGTCATCCCTTCACTTTCTAGTGTGTGGTTTGGTCAACATTTACTTATATGATATTGGTAAATGTGTAACTCTATCCAATATTCCTGATTCTCATATTTGGCTGCCTTGTAAGATGAGCTCTATCAGGGTACTGAAGGCAGGACGATACTCTGACATTGACGGCAGGAAAAATATGGAAAGTGTCACTTCTGAGTCATAAGTGCTCAGAAGTTCCAGGAGAGTACTCTACAGGACAATAGTCTACATTTTCTGGGTGAGACCCGGAGGCTCCCCGGAGCTTTTACCAGGCTGATATGCTAATGTCAGACTTTGGCATCAGTCATGTATATGGAGTTCTAGGGACCTATCAGGGACCACAGCCAGAACCTGGCCCCCTCAGAGAGGCAAGGGGAGCAATGGCCTATAGAAACCCCCGTGTGGTTGGAAGCATTCTATGTCTGCCATCGACCGGGTCAAGCATCCAGAAAGGTAAGCATTCCAAACCAAACCCCTATTCTGGTTAAAATTGCTACCTAAAGCCGAACTAGTGGATAGAACTCGCCAATAGAAAACAAGCAAACTAGTATGACGTCACACGTCACCGCGCCGCTGTCTGCGCAGCTCCCCCTCCCTGGGAGGAGGAAGGGGGAGCCCCAGACCTCCCACGCCGGCTATCCACCCATCAGTTCTTCGGCTGATGCTATAGGCACCGGTTATGTGCTCCGGCTCCAGTAGTTGTTTCAGCACTCTACCTAGAGTGTGGTGTCTGTCTTCTAGGTGGTGCGTGAGCCGGGAGTGATTCTCCAGTACTCGGGCTGCATGCGCCTAGGGTTCCCTTCCCAAGGTGCCCTGTAAGTACTGCCCTTGGGGCTTGGGGCCACCTTCTACAAGTTCCTTGGGTCCTGCCCCTGCTTGGCCGTTTACTGCTTGGTTTTCGGCCGCTCTTTGTGTGCTCGGGTGTTCTGTCTCCCTTGTTCGCCTTAGAGTAAGGGGCAGTTTTTGCACTGGTGGGGCACAGGGTACTGTGCAGATTGTCTTTACCAATCATGGCGGCAGGCTCTGTTCCGCTTGGGGGTACGATGTCCTCTTGCAGGGTTTTCTTTTTCTTTTTGTTTCTCTTCCTGATGGGGGGGGGTCTGCCTTTGTTCTTGCCCCTTGTGTCCCTTGTGTTCTGAGTATTTTCTGGTGGTACCCCCTGCTAGGTCCCCATGAGTGTACACGTCCCGGGGGTTCAGCTCTTAGAAAGTTGTTTGGTAGCTTTGGGCGCCGGTTAGCAGTACCCTGCCTGGGATTACCTGAGCGTGAGTCCTCTTATAGTAAACGCTCGGGACCCTGGGAAACCCCTGGGGGCGCGCGGGTCCGATGGATGTGACCTCAGAGTCCCCCTCGCTTCCAGCGAGTTTGAGGGTTGCTCTCACCCTTTGTCTCTGGGTGACTCTCTGTTTTGCCTCCATCTGCTGCCTGTGGGGTTGGTGACACCTTCGACCCGGAGTCCTGCGAGTTTGGTTGCTCGTTGTGGCTCGGTTACCCAGTTGTGCTGACTAAGCGGGTGCGGGCAGCAGGGGCATTGCACTTTGAGCCTTGGTGGTGGCAACGCTCTCGTTGTTTGCTCCCCGGGAGCCCCGGGGCTGCCCCGTTTTGGTTAGTGTTGGGACTTGGGGGTGTTGGTTGCTTTGGTTCCATCCACGCCCCCTTGTCTTTTCCCTGGATCCCCCTTCCTGCCTGCATCCGGTTCCTTACCGTCTGTAGGTTCGGGGCGGGGTTTGATGGTGTTGAGACTCCAGCAGTCTCGGGGAATTCCCCTTCCGGGGTAGTGACGGGGGCATTTGAGCCTGTTCCTCCAGCTGTGTTGTAAGAGTCTGCCAGTGGGGTCCCTTCCTTAGTGTTTTCGCGGCTGCCCCGGTTTCCTGGTACGGCCGGGGCTTTAGGGGGACGGCTCGGCCCTGGGGCCTGTCGTGTAGGTTCCCAGGGCTGGGGAGGGGCTGACTTGGGGGACCTTGGCCTAGTAGGACCCCGTGGGGGTTTTTCTCCCCCTCTAGGTGGGGCTTGTGGTTACGCGGAGTGGGGTCTTTCCTCCCCACTCACTGTACGTGTTGTTGGGTGTCGGCCCCTCCCCGGGCTCGGTTCCTTGGCCTTTGAGTCGGTTGGTTCCGTCCTGTGGGTGGATGCTTCCTCCCCCCCTTTTTGGGACGGTGTCTTCGTCATGTTTCCCTGTTCTTGGGGTTCTACGTGACTTCTGGTCTCGGGTGCGCCTGCGCCTTTGTGTGCCTTCGAGACTAGTGTTGGCTACTGTGTTCTCGAGGGTTCAGGAAGGATTTCGCTATTTCCCGCATTATTGGAACGTCTGTTGGCTCCTCGTCCGGGTCGCCGTTTTGGGCTACTTGTAGCCCGGTTGGGCTGCTTGTGGCCAATAGCCCGGTTGGGCTACTTGTCGCCTTGTTGGGCTACTTGTGGCCCGGTTGGACTACTTGTCGACCTGTTGGGCTACTTATGGCTCGGTTGGGTACCCTTTTGGGCTCTGTCTTCGCTTCGTTGGCCGGTTTTGTTGTTCCTGCTTCCTCTTTTGGCTACTTTTCTGGTGCAGTAGTCCTGGTTGGCGCCTTCGCACAGTGCGGGTTGTGCGGTTCGGCCAGCGTGTCCTGCGCATGCGCCGTGGAGTTTGTTTTGGTCTGGGCGGTGTAACTGAACCCTGTGGTACTCCACTTGTGACATTTCTCCATTCTGATACATTGCCTCTGATTACTGCCCTCATTTTTCTATCAGTCAGAAAATTTTCATCCATGATAGAAGCTTACCTGTCACCCCTCCATATTTTCCAGTTTCCAGAACAACCTCTTATGTGGAACTCTGTCGAAAGCCTTTTTTAGGTCCAGATAGATGCAGTCAACCCAACCATCTCTTTCCTGTAATATCTCTGTGGCTCGATCATAGAAACTGAGTAAATTCGATACACAGGATCTTCCAGATCGAAAACCATACTGTCTGTCTGATATTATATCATTTCTCTCTAGGTGTTCTACCCATTTAGTTTTGATTAGTTTTTTCCAATACTTTCACTATTACACTTGTCAATGATACAGGTCTATAATTGAGGGGGTCTTCCCTGCTGCCACTTTTGTAGATTGGAACTATGTTAGCCTGTTTCCACCCGTCTGCTACGATTCCTGTACACAGGGATGCCTGAAAGATCAGGTGAAGTGGAATGCTGAGCTCAGATGCACATTCTCTCAGAACCCATGGTGAAACGCCATCTGGGCCAGCTGCTTTGTTCTTTCCGAGCTCCTTGAGCATTTTTTCCACTTCGTCTCTAGACACCTCTATGTGTTCTATGTTGTTCTCTGGAATTCTTATTGTATCTGGTTCCCTAAAGATTTCATTTTGTACAAACACACTTTGGAACTTTTTGTTTAGTGTTTCACACATTTCCTTTTCATCTTCCGTGAATCTATTTCCCATTTTCAACCTCTGAATATTATCCTTTACCTGCAATTTGTTGTTTATGAATTTATAGAATAGACCTGGTTCTGTTTTACATTTGTCCGCAATCCCTTTTTCAAAATTTCTTTCTGCCTCTCTCCTCACTGCCGTGTAGTTGTTTCTCGCATCTTTGTATCGCTGTATGTTTGGGGGTTCGGCCTCTTCCTGTATTGATTCCATTTTTGTGTCTTTCGGTCTCTAGTTTCAGTGCTGGTGTTTTGCGCCCTTTTTTCTCAGGTGCTTTGCCTCTCGCTCTTCTCCCTTGCTGCGGTATGTGCCCCTTCGCTCCGGGGGTGTCCTGGTTTCCAGCTGTGGGGGTGGATGCAGAGGTTTTCCCTGTGTCATGGGTGTGGGCCGCCTCCTTTGCCTCTACCCTGCTCTCCTGCGTGTCCGGCTCTGGCTTCTTCACCTGGCGGTGCTCCCAGGATCTTCTGGGCACTGTTGGGTTGTGTCGCGTTCGTGCCTCCGTTCAACAGGTGAGTTTCTGCGGTCTGGCTTCTTTTGGCCGGGCGCTGGGTGAGGAAATATTTATATACCTGTCTTTCTTTAGGTATATTTCTGTACGACTGTGACCGTTCGCACACCAGTGACTGTCCCTTTTTTCAACCCTTCCAGTCCCACTCATGAGCATGTCCACCCATGCTAGTCATTCAGGGGGACCCACCTTTTTTCGTGTTATGAGGTGTGTGGGTTGTGGTGTTGGTTATGTTCTCACCTGGTAGGGCTCTCCTGGTTGTGCTTGCAAGGTTGAGCTCTGGCTCTTGGGTCCCGCCTATCTGGATGAACTTGCGGGATAGTACCAGTGGAGTGCAGTGGTGCTATAGGCACAATCGGGGAACACTGTACCACCATCAGAGGTCTGTGGTTGTTATACGACCTACTTGCAAGCATACGCCATATTGCCGGTATGTCCATGGACTTCCGGGGCACACTAGCCTGTTTTCGAATAGAAGTTCCGGCCCATCCTGGTTGTGGGGGATATGTGGGCCT